TGCCATGAGAAAGGATTGCAGGATCAGAACCAAACTGTGTACATACAGCTAGCACGTAAAAACAGAAATAGCATCATTAAGATTTACTTGTTCATGATATTTATGTGTGATAAAAAAAACCCATCCAACAAATTAGAGAGGAGTATTCCTGTTTAATGGACCATACTACTAAAACATATCTCCAGTGCAAAGGAATTATTTTCAGAATTAATACATCAAATTACAATGACAGCAATCATAAGGAGCTATTTTGCTTCAGTGTTACTGAGATATTTAGAACTAAGGAAATCCAAACCAAAGAGTTTCCAACATCAGGAGCTTTAATAGAGAGCTTTTTCTGTAAGGAATGCACATTCCCAAACCTGGCTATTGAACAGCATGAGACTTTAAAAGGATGCAAGAGCTCTGCAATCAGGAGACTTCAGTACTCAGTTCCATGCTAAGTTATTTAGTGCCTTGACTTTCCTCGTAGCTAAGCACTCACTGTGCATGTGCAGTGAAAGTGTCTTCTTCGTGTGAAACTGCCTCAGAACAACACCATCCTCTCCAACAAAGACTTTGTCAGAGATGACTTTCAGCTATACTACCTGCATAGATAGAAAAGCAATGGGGGAAGAGTACTGCCCCTACGACATCACTGATAAAACCTGCAGGATAAAGTGAGCAGTATATAGTTTTAGTTATCAGATTAACTTGTGTACTAAACAGGAGGATGCCAGCTTCCATGCCATGACCCAAACACTACCTTCTTCACTACGAAGTTGCACAGCACCGTCTCCTCCCCCCAGCAATCATCACAACTACAATTACAACTGCAGGAAGAAGCATTCCATAGAAGACTGTGATAGGCAATGAAAAAGATGGCTTCTTTCCCATATGGTCATATACCTCAGACTGCAAGGAGTCTGGGGATGCAAACAGGCTTGACAATGTGATGTAGTAACACTTTTTTCAGGTAAGCTAAGAAAGCTTGTTCTCATATACCTTGCTCCTCATGGGTGAAGTTTACCATCCTGCTATCTGTTATGGGGATAACAGGTGCAAGCCAGAAGGCTTCTGGAGGGCATTGATAACCTGACATGGGTGACTGAACAGCTCACAGGGAGAAATGCTGTGAACAGACAATTCTTACAGTCAAGGAAGAACTGGTCAGTGATAGTCTTAGCCCACAAAGAGAAGCTGAAAGAGCTGGGGTTGTTTTGCCTGAAGAAGGCTCAGAGGGTGATCTCCCTGATGTTTTATCTGATGAACAGAATGGAAAAGGATGATTAAGGCAGACTCTTCTCAGTGGTATAAAGCAAGAGGAGGTGAGGCAATGGTCAATAATTTCCTGAATAGAGGAAACATACCATTTAAAAATATGAAAATTTATGGTGGTGTGTGCTGGTTTTTTACTGTAAGAGTAAACAGGTGAGGAAACACGTTGCTCAGGGAGGTTGTGGGGTCTCCTTCCTGCTTAACACTGGACTGAACAAAGTTCTTTGTAACCTGCTCTAGGTAACTCCACTTGGAGTAATGGGGTTGGACTAGACTCTCTCCAGAGGTCCCTTCTGACCTTCAACTTTCCTGCAACTCTGTTGGAATTATATAATGTAAACCTTTGCTTATCTACTTCAAGATTCCCCTCTCTGTAGATATTCCATTTTCCCACCAACCAGCATCCAGCTACAGGTTCAGGATGCAGTAAGAGACATGGGTGAGCACAGGCTTTTGCATAATTGGGATTTTCCTCCCTGGGCTCTGAAGACCTATGCATTACAGCTAAATTGGGCCAGGCTATTTAATACTACTAGGACAGCAAGCCATAAATCCAGCCCAGAGTTTAACTGCTCAGATACCTTGCTTTTAGCACTGGAAACTTTTTCAGTGTATCTTTTACTGAGGTTACACTGCCTTTTGGATTCCGAATTCTGTCAAAAAATACTTGCCAGCTTCACTAGCTCAGTATAACCCAAAACAAACAAACTTTTACAGTGTAGTCAAATCACTGATGTGATCATCTGTCCTTCAAGAAAAAATAGTTACAGCTTTATATCTACGTGTGTGCCTCCTCTGAAAGACTCTGCAAAAAGAGACATTTACATCATTTTAGGCAATCCACATTTGGATAATTGATTTTGAAGACATTCAGAGGGAGATGAATATAGAGTTATGGATAACAGAATTTGGATTAAGCTATCTGCATGCTGCTATACATTATTCAGAATCAATATACTGTAAACACCCATAAAATCAAATTAAATGCAAAACAAAACATGGTCGGTTCACCAGATTCCCAGAGAACTACAATTTAAAGGAAGAGGACATATAAAGACTGGATAGAGAAAATGAGGCTGAACTGTTTATTTAGTAGCCATGAAGTGAATGTGCTACTGTTTTCTGAGCATCCCATGGTGAAGCCACAGTGCACAGAGCTAATCCCTGTTTGTCACCAAAACAGACAGGAATGCACACTGGATAATTTGTTCCTACTGATGATATCATTCTGTTAAGTTTACTGTTTTTAATAAGGAACAAGTTTCAGTCTTCTCTCACTTTCTTCCACGTACAAGATCAGATCAGCCTCACAGTGACCTACTTTATGAGTCACAGTCCTCACTATTTATGAGTCAGAAAAACGTCTTCTCTGACAGTATTTCCCAGACTACTGTGGGTTCATTCCAAGAACCAATTTCATCTTCATTGGTTTCCTACAGGAAACCAGACCAACTTCCTATGATTTTATTTTCCTTCATTTCAGCATGGCTCACATAAACTAACTGGAAGTGAGAGTGATAGAAAACTTTATTCTGCATAAACACAAGCCAATACAAACACCACCAAAAAAATCCTGAAGACGTCACCGGTTCAAAGTGACCAGAATGTGAAGCAAGCTAAGATTAGAAGTTCTTTTCCCTCCTTCCCCAAACATGATGCACACAAGCAGACCCAGTAAGTTTATATAACCACAGTCCAATGCTAACAGCTGTTTAGGTGTCTGGTGAAGACATTCACCTGAACAGATGGCCACGTTCTACTGTCTCTCTTTCAACACTGGGAATTGTTTTAAAATGCTAAGCACTCTTAGACTGTTTTTAAGTTCTACTAACAACATAGTAAAGCTGCCCGACCACCTCAGTCAACAGACTCAGGGTGCTTACCTTCTCTCCTCAATTGCAACAGCAGAAGTACTACTGGAGATGCTAGGAAGCAAGCAGGCCTTGAAGAAGTTCATCTAGACTTCCCATAGGACTGCTAACATTGCCTAAGTATCAGCCTGCTGCATCCAGGTCAGCTTCTAATAGAGCCATTTTCATTGTCCTCCAGGACATTAGGACATGAGATTTCCAAAAGCCAAGAGTCAGCACCAGATTTGCATTAGCTCAGAATCACAGAGTAGTCTGAGCTGGAAGGGACCTAGAAGCATCAAGTCCAACTCTTAAGTGAATGGCCCATATGGGAATCAAACCCACAACCTTAGCATTATTAGCCCCATGCTCCAATCAACTGAGCTAATCATGCAGTGAGACATTTGAGAAATAACCCTTCCCATAACTCATGGCAGGATCATCTCAATCTATAGCAGCAGCACAAGCACCACTATCACCCCTTCATGCCTCCCAGCGCTGTGACCAAGGTGTTGCAGCTGCAGCAGGCACCTGGAGATCATAGCTTGGTACTAACGTTCTAGTCCCAAATTAAGTGGGACAGGTAATTCCCACAGAGATTGCTACACAGTGAACCAGTTCAAGAAAAGGGATGCTGGGACACCTAGCTGTGGACTGCAAATACCAAGCATAATTTGCTGGCTCAGATTTCACTCTGCAAAGCAGCAGTTCAGTTATCTTCTGGACCATCTTCTGCTCTTGGACTCATATAGCCCTATTGTTATTCTGCTGTATGTGAGCTAATAAACCAGACCCATGTTAACACAGTGAATTCAATCATGCAAGCAAATTAAAAGCAGAATTATTCTCATTTCGTGTCTGTATTCTGGTGTGTGTGTTGTCAATAACTGCAGTCTTTCAATGTGATTTCCTCTTGCTGTGTTTCAAGGGCTACAGTGAGAGGAACAACACACACTGCTTTCTCTGGGAAAACTTACTTAGAAAACTAAAGCAAAACTCATTTTCAGGAGGCTTAAATACTCCTTCACTTCTCACCTCAAGAGAAGCCAGGGAATATTATTACTTTAGAATGCTTACACATTGCACACAATAAGGACAGGACATATGACTGACGTACAATTTATTCTAATGACAACTTGCTACCTGGACATCTGCTTCAGCTTGTAATCACGAGGCATGAACGAGGATTTTGCAAGTAAATAGTGGCCACTTGTTAGTAAACTGAGCTTTTACAGCAGTGTAGGTTAATAAACGTAAACCACAAAGTTATTGCCTCTACTATTAATTTTCCATCCTTTTGATGCAGCAGTATTTGTCAGGGTCAAATTACTAGTTTTTAATGACCCCTTTTTATTCCAGTTTCTCTAACTTGATTTTTTGTAACCAAAAGCCCAAAAGTGTTGTAATACTGCAGGTAGTAACAGGGCTGTTTTCTCTGTTTGTAGGTCAGTATTTCAAAGAGTATCACCTGCATGAAAACTGGTATAGGAGTAGACTTTATAGAAATGATGCATTCTGATATATGTAATGATTTTAAACCAACCAAATAATTTTCTTTTAAGTACTGCTTGGTCTAAGAACACTGCATAATTTCTCAGCTAGGACTGATTAGCAGCAAAGTCTACAGCAAAAGTTGTTTCACGTGGCAGAAAAACCAGATTTTTAAACATGCAGATTTTGTTGACAATGACGATTTAAGCTCTATTCTTCTGACATGCAGTAATTTAGCACCGCAGCAAACATGACTGTCTTGACTGAAGGCAGTGTTTACCCAATGACATTAACAGTTGTTAAAACGCTTATAAATGCTGCAGTCTAAAATCACCAAGGTAATATATCAACACCACCACCACCACCCATTCACAATTCTCAGTACTAGAGAAGTTTACTCACCTTGACATGGCTCTGAGCTCCCAGATTGTAAATCTCAGAAGGTTTGACTTCATTAATGATCTTCACCAGGCAGGTGCTGTCTGTGAGATCTCCATAGTGCAGCTTCATGTCTTCAGAGTTTAAGAACACAGAGTTAATACACTTTAATCTTGGAACAAGATTGCATTCTTGGTCCATATCCTATTTCAGGTCAAGATCTGAGTAAACATTTATTGGAAAAAGTCAAGAGATCACCAGCTAAACTTGGTTTTGCTTGGTTTTTTTCTCCCCTGCTTTAACCACAAAATACATTTCCCCATAGGAGTAATGAACAGCATTTCAGATTATTTTTTCAATAATCTTATTTATCTAGCAACATTTATATCATTTGTTTAATAGCTTACACTTTATTTTCCCAGGTTGTATAAATAAGTTCAATGTCAGATATAGAACGCCAGTCACAAAAATAGGGCATTTTTTAGTTTGGGCTTCCAATCTATCTTTCACTCAGAAATGTTTTAATAACTTCTAACTTCAATGGCTTTTTTCTCTTCCCCAAAATGTTGCATGCATTTCAGTTTCTCACTGTGACTAATTTCACAACACAACAAAAATGTCTAAGGTTCTACTAGATGAGCATTTAGATAACATTAAAGCACAACCTGCTGCATTTGTTATTATTGCTTGTCCATTTTAAAAAATACAGATGCACACTGGAAGGGAATTTAAGAGAACAATTTAACTGTCAGTGAAACATGGTTTGTGATACTATGCATCAAAATCTCAAAATTGGTTAGATACAGACATTAATTATCCTTTTCAGACTTGAGTTTCTTTCTAAATTTTGAGTAAAAAAGTAGGTAAGAGCATGAAACCAGCTCTTGTCAAATTTTAAAGAGGAAGTTGCAATGGTTTACCAAGTTGTCCTTGTTTTCAGACACAAGAAGATATTGCAAAAGTAAAATCCACAAATCAGATCTCCTTTTAGGTCTTATTTGAAATAAAATTGAAAAAATCAAACAACCACACTGCTATTTACAGATCTTTCCAATACAAAGTTGTAACTATGATGAATTAACTGTTTATATTTACTTGCCATATTTATATAGATTTTCATTTGATGTTTATGACCTTAAGTTGGTATTTTTTTTTTTAGTCCTGACATACCAGGCTTATTACTAGAGATATGAATCCACAGTACATTTTTAACTGCTGCTAAGATGGATACATAAAGTTTGTTATTATTTACGCTGATTTCACTTATTTTTTGTCTTCTTTTTTAAAGTATAAAACAGCAAGTAAGTTAACAGATCACACAGTTCTGACATGTTCAGCCCTGTACATTCCCATAAAACAGGTGCATGAGGTTCTTCAGGTTGATGAAGTAATACAGCCATGGTACATTCTAGAAATTTCTTTTCACATCCACATCAGTTGAAAAGGACATTCATTCTGAAGAGACTTCAGACCCAGCTAAAGCTGTGGCTAACAGGTAATACTAGGCAGGAAAGAGGTGTCAGAGCCTGTTCCTCATCCTACACCAAAGACATGCAGTCCTGCCACAACCCCAAGGCCAGAAAATAGTTTCAGGGGAAGGTGGGCTGCCAGCTTGGCTGACCCAGGAAACAAGACACCAGCCCACCATTACCATAAATGTAATGCTCTCAAGGAGAGTGTTTATTTTTTTTCCACCATCAAGCCTTCAAAGCTTCTGGTCCAAATGGCCTTTCTGAAGGAGAGCAGAGAACAAAGCTATATTTCCTCCTGACCCATAAAAAAGAGGGTGTTTCAAGAGTGAAAAGCTAAGTGGAAAGACTTAATAGAAAATGGGGTGTATTTGGTGCACAGATCCACAAATGCAGATCAAATGTCAGAACCTTTGGGCTTTAGTAATATTATCCATATTAACCTCCTTAGCAAGCAACAGCTGGTGGCCTTGCTCTAGGATGCACCTTGTCTTCCTTCCTGTGCTCCCTACTTTTTCATACAAAGAGGTTCACTGTCTATGAAAAGCACTGTCTTGCAACATGCAATCGATTCCTCATGAGAAAAGCACACATGGCAAAGATAAAATTGGAGTTTCCTCACATCAACCACTATTGCTTCCTCCAGCACTGCCTGGAAACCCATTGTTTTCAAACAATTTCCATGGAGCAGCCTTTCCTGAGATTCCAAGTTCAATTCCTTCTCCTCCCGTTCATATGGTTACATTCTTCAGTTACAGGAAAATGAGATAAGAAGTGAAAAATATTCATGTCTACTTTCTCTTTTCTTCCTTCCATCTCTTTCCTTGAATGTTTCTATGTGCATTTGTTGTGATCTACATTGTCTTCTCAAATCACTTTTCTTAACCACAAGATGGTCCTCACAATGCACAGGTTCCTGTTTGATTTAATTTTCTTCATTCTACTTTGTGACCCAAGAATGCAAGTCATGGGAAACAGTTCTTACATTGTTCTTGACAGAAAAACACAGGTTTGAGTATTCTTCACAAAGATATTTTGTTCAATTCTACCCCTCTCTTAATCAGATACTTTAATGAGCCGTCTACAGTAAGTAGCAACTAATCAGAGGAATGCTATGTCAGAAATTAAACATTTCTGAAATAAAAACTACAAGCAAAGACCAAAGGAAATGTATAAGTTGCACAATATATTAAACTTGATAAAATTAGGCTCTGTTTAACCATGACATGAAGCAGACTTCAATGATGTGATTTTTTTACACCATGGAGATACTTGTTAACACCACCTTAAACTGCACTGCTTAGGACAGCTTGCACAACTCCACAAAATAGTCAGAGCATGGAGAACTGTGTTCTTGTTAAAGTGTTCAACACTTCTGCTGAACTGGAGCCATGCAATGTTTGAGCTGTTTCTCATTAAGAGACCAATTAACTTCCTTTAACATAAAATAAACAATTTTTTGCCATTACTAAAGATAATAATTTCAACTTTCCAGATTATCATTGGTAACAGAGAATACAGAAAATTGTCAGGAAATTTCCAAGAGCAATGCCTTTCATTCAGGTAAAGCAGGTACTCCCTTCCTTGGATGCAAGAATTCAGAGGGCCCATCCAAAGATTAATTCTTCCTGTCATCAATAAGAACTGATCATGTCTTATTCATGCTCTCATACAGGCTGTTTCCAAACTTTCACCTCCAGCAGACACCATGGAGCTCATGAGGAAACACAAGTGGAGTACTTAAGATAACTACCACAAAAAACTCCATATTTACTTATTCTGAAATCTCAGTATTTTTAACTTCACATGGCATTTTCCAGGCCCAGCCATTTTCTAACTGCTACTGCCCAGCTATTTCTGAACAGCGGCAGCATTTCTACACAACACAAAGTGCTTTCCTGGGTCCTTCTCATATTTTCCACTTTTAAAAACTCAAGAGTTTTTAAACACACAAGAGTACACACACAAGAGTATCCATATTTCATGCCACATCTTCAGAGAAAAATGGTCATTTTTCTTTCTGAGATGGAGCAGCTAGGTAACATTTAGCAGAAGAAAACTCAATTCCCTTCCTGTTCCCAGGGATCTTTCTCCACCAAACACACAGCCCAGAATAAATACAACATATACCACGTTAAATACAAAAGCAAAGTCTTACTTCCTTCAATGTGAGCCTGGGGGTTCTTATAGAGATGTTCAATCCGGCCTGTATTAAAAGAACTGGACCGACGAACGATGCCATGCACCTGGGGATTGAAGAAGGAAAAACAAAAAAAATGGTAAACATTAAGAGGAAAGTGTTCATTACCATCACTCAAAATTCTGGTGTACATGGACCTAACTCTTTTATCAGGTCTCATCTCTATTCCTAAAGATAGACAGTTATCCAATTCACAAACATGACACTGGGAGATGAGGTCAGGTGCTGTCATATTTACTTTACCCCCGTGTGGTTTCCCCTTCTCCCTTGTTGACACGCCCAAACATCACACATAGTACAGAAAACACACTGAATTGCCCCAGAGCATCATCTCCAAGTGAGTGAGGCTTGACAACATTACTGGAGTTGGAGAAGCAATGTGTGAATGCCAAGAAAACCACTGCACTTTGGCTGTAGAGAAGTCTTTCTGGAGGCAGAGACAGGCATAAAAAAGCAGCAGCAGCAGAGATGGCAAGGACAGAGTTGGCAGAGAGGAGAGAAGGGGAAAAAGAAAGGAGACAAGAGGAAGGAAAGAATAGCAGCTGCAAGGCCCAAATGTATTTTTAAAATGAGCTGTCATTCACTTTCTGAGGTGCTGGAAGAACAGCCAGTGCTGTTTTGTAGACCTCATGAGTCACTGTTGTCCAGTGGGTTGCAAGAGACACAGACAAGCCTAAGGCTGAAACCCAGGCTGGGAATTTCCTTTAACCTGCCACGATAAATAAGCTGGTGAAAAAAAGCTACACTGGTCCTGACTGACATTAAAGAAAAGACTGTTTGTGCCTAATATATTAGAGAAATTTTTCAAACATTGACCCTATTTCCTCCTGTCCTGTAAGACAGCCCCGTGATGGCTGCTGCCAAAATTCATGTTAGCTTTGGTTTCCAACTACAGAGGTTGTGCTTGCACAAATGAAATCAAGCTTAAGCATCTGACTGTCCTCCACCTCTCCCTGGCTTTTATTTCTGACAGTGATCCATTTGTACCTCAACACATCCTGGACTTGATTTGTTGAGGGCATCCCTTTATTCTCTCACTTGATGTTAACTTGTGAGAATATAGAAGCAGGAACAGGCAGTGTTAAGAGTTTTGGTTTTGTTTGGGGATTTTTGTTTTACATATAACACAAGCTGTGATTATTGACAAAGAAAGCGTTTTTCATTTAAGTCCAAAATTTAACCAAGTAAAAAAGTGCGCACAACTGCAGGTTGAGACCAGTTTGCTGATTTAAGAATGACATTTTGGTGGCACAATTTAAAAGAGCTCAATAACTTCATTTTGACAACGTACAGGTTCAAATTTATGACGCCAATTTCCTTGCAGAAAATCTCTCGTGTGTCCTGTCACATTGCTCACAACATACCATGTTCTACAATTCAAACTAAATTTTCCACAACTGAATAAAACATCTGCACTTTCAGGATCAATGAGGCACTGAGAAACGTGACCCCCTCAAAATAAATTTCTGTTAAATAATGCATTTATGAAGATACATTACAAAAATCATATAATTAAAAGCCTTATCAAAATAATTCTCTATAGATTGTGTGGGTAATTTATAGGAACATCAAGTATAGAGAGAAACACTTTCAAAAGAAGACATTTTCTTCATAACTTCACTTTGACAATAACTTCACTTTCATAAATGAAGCTGGTAATATTTTGAGTACTCAAACTTATTACTTTGCTGAGTAAAATATCAGACTTTGCAGTTTTAATGTAACTGATTATTCTGAAGGAAGCAAACTGAGTTGCTCAGAGAAGGTTTAGATTAAATATTAGGGAAAAAATTATTCATGGAAAGGGTTGTCAAGAACTGGAACAGGCTGCTGAGAGAACCTATAGGTATTTAAGAGACAAGTAGATCTGGCATTTAGGGAGATAATTTAGTGGTGGACTTGACAGTGTTGGGTTAACAATTGGACTGGATGATCTTGGAGGTCATTTCCAACCTAAACTAAACTATTCCGTGATTCTTCTAGCAAAATTAAAAACTTTGGCTTAAAAGTCTGATGAGAGACTTCTTGAGCACTCAGTTATCTATCTCTGAATTAAGTCTAGCTGAAATTCATGTTCATCTGAATGGCTGACCAATAAGTCAAATCTTGCCAGCTCAAAAGCTTGATGAAAGATTGGCCTTGCAAGAGCTTTGTCTCTGCTCATGACTGTGATACAAACTTTTGACCAACGAGATGTGCTAAATGCAACCTTCCCAGGACTTCAAAAGATTCAGTAAGCAGACAAATCCAGAGAGCCTGTTACATCCAGCAATAACAAAAAAGTGAACCCTGCTTTTTTATTTCCTTTTTCACCCACTCCTTATTCTGGTATGCACATACAAGAGCAAGAAACCAGCCAAATGCTTAATCCCTGACAGCAATGTTACCGTAAGAAAACTGATGAAAGGTACCATTGTCTGCGTGGGACAAGTGAAATGCAAACTCTGTGACAGGTCAAAATGTGTCCAAACTGGTTAATCTAGTGAAGAATGTATCAGTGGATTTTTCGCAACAGAGCCAGATCTTCAAACACATAAAAAAACCAAAAAGTGAAATGGAGCACCTCAATTAGGGAGGCAATATGTCTGCTTGTGTTCAGTTATTTAGGAACAGAGGTTTCTAAATGGGAACATAGGAAAGAATTCCAATACGTTGATGGAGAACTGAAGACCAGAAAGAAAAAACCCTACTCAATTATAGTAATCTTTGTATTGTTGAAGGAGTTATATTGCATTTGCTGTTGCCATCTTCCTTGTGGACTATGGGAGAATATGTCCTTTGCCTTCAAAGTAAAAAAAGCAACCACAATGACATCTCTCATCCCCAAACAGAATGGAGGAATAGTAAAAAATAATCCATTTACAACACTGAAAAACCAATTTCAATAAGCAAATTAATCAAAAGAAAAGATGGAATACGCAAGGCAAGATTATCCTGGTACAAAAAGTATGGGAAGCACAGACTGGCTGAGATTTTTCACTAAACTATGAAGCAGTATTACAACAGAAGTAATAACATTCAATATTAAAACAAGCACTAACTTTTACTAAACCCCCAAAAAATACTACATTGTCGGGAGATTAATTTGACCACCCCATTTCCTTCCATTATCACACATTTTAGAAGCATCTTGTATGACCCAGAAGCCAAATAATCTTACACTTATGCCCACATCAGTTCAAACCCCTCAAATCATACCATAACAATAGCAACAATGTGATTGTTGCTTTGCTGGACCACAAGAAAAGTGATTTTTTTTCCAGGGAAAATCATGCAGCAAGAAGGAATCAGACTCCCTTTATTTCAAGAAAGAAGTAAGCAAAACTCATGTGCTAAGCAATAATTGATTAATCCAAGAGAAAAGGTAGAGAGCAACTGCACCAAACTTGTTCAACTTGCTTGGGGTTTGTTGTTTGGGTTTTGTTTTAAGGTTTGTTTTTTCTTTTTGAACAGAGAAAGCAAAATGCAAGGTTTTCACTGCTGAAATATAACTGCCAAAATAAAATGGCTGTTACTGTGGAGAGAGAGAGGTGGGGAATGAGAAAGAACAAGGGATGCTTATTCCTTTATGTGGTACATTGCATCATAAATTATTCCCTAATTCCTTACAGTTTTGGCTCACACGGGTCACTGCTTATCTGAGCTGGCGGGAAACATGCAAAGCAGCTATACCCCGAGGAGAAGAGGGAATCCACCAGTGGACATTAGATGATAAATAGTACAATAACCTGGCACGATTACAGGCCATGCTGCACATTCCTCTGTGGAGTTTTGATTTGTTATCTAGGACTGGAGTGGAAAACATACACAGAGAAGGACAGAAGCAGAGGAAGCGGGCTGGGGCTGCAGCATCCAAACGATTCCATCAGCCTGCAGCCAGTCACCGAGTCACTCACCTCATAGCCCTTTTCCAACAGGAACTCGGCCAAGTACGATCCATCCTGCGAAGAGCAAGATAGAGGAAAAGGTTAGAAACACACTGAATGGGCCTGGGAGATCTGGACTGCTCAAGGTCGCTAAAGAGGGAAGAAAAAACTTGTAGTGAGTAGACTGGGTAACAAGCCTATACTTTGATTTCTCCAGATTCATACACCGACCTAAAAATACTACAGACTCTCTTTAGTTAATTTTAGACTATGAAGCAGTATATTTTAAGATAACTTGCTTACAGATGCTGGCTGAGAACTCCCATCTCTTGAATCCCTTCCCAAGTTCCATTATAAAGTGCCTGGGGACTATCCTTCCAAAATATCCTAACCACGGTCACTGAATTTGAACTATTTTGGAGATAGGGAAGGAAAAACACATTAAAAAAAATAAAATAGTACAAGCTGGGCATTCTCTGCAAACCAGTGTGGCTCTGTAGCACCTTGTCACTCTGGCGTCTCCTTTGCCCAGGCGCTCCTTCTACAAAGGCTTCTGAAGGCAGCCATAATTCTGCCATGCCTGATCTACTGGGTTTTCAAAAACATCCCTAGCACACCTTATATTTTAACTACACAATAAAAGCCATTTTCAAATTTTAAATATATGCCATTGAAGGTTGAGAATTCAGGTCATTTAATTTCAGGGATTTTTCTTTTTTTTATTCTCTGAAATTCTTGTCAAACTTAAATTATTAAGCTCCTCGAAAGCAAATATGTTAAAACATGTGCTAACACAAGTTTTCCTGAAATAAGAGGATTCTCCTGGCCTGACTATTGCCAGGATTACCAAAACCAGTAAGTCATAACACCTCTATAAATGTGTACACACCATCACAAACCCAGCAAAGTTAAGCCCTCCAAAAAAGTTCTCACTAACCAATTCAGTTATTACCCATGCCCAAAGTCTGCAGCTTTCACTGACTTCTTGAATTGCTTGTTCCTTTAATATGTGAATGTATTCTCAGACCCAAATGACTTGCTACAAAAAGATCATAAAACTAGTGAGATGCCACCTACGCTTACAGGTTTAAACTCTGTTATGTGGATCTGCTCTGTCATAATCATGGCCAGAGACATCTCTCGCTGATCATCCCTTAAAAGCATGTTGCTCCCGAGAAAATACTTCTTTTTACTTCATATTAAATGAATTGCTTTTGCCTCAGAGAGCCTAAGAAGAAGAACACACTGAAATAAGAAATTTTAGATGCACTAGGAGACCCTACGGGAGCAGGAGTGCCAAGGGAAATTGCTTACAGCATGGATGGCAAAATCCTGCATATGTATATGCAAAATAGCACAAGGAGTACATTGTACAAGGAGCACATTGCTCTATGTTTCAAAGTGCAGCATTAGAAAAGGAATTACTTCATGGTATAAATGCTTCATAAAGTCTCACACAGTCTAGAAGGGCTTGAAACCAAGAAAGTTTCAGCTTCCATCTTTCTCCCACTACACATACAGGTGGTGCACAGATCTTCACAGGGCTCTGTAGCCCTGTAATAGCAGTCCATGACACCGGTTCAGGATCAATTCAAAGAATATTTGATGGAAAAATCTGGGTGCAAAGGGGGAAGATGACAGTTGCTCTTAATGCTTTTGTTATCTTTTTCATTAGCAATTCCTCCAGGATTTAGCAGAGAGGGGAAAACTTCCTAGTTCTCCTTGGTTGCTCAGTCCACTACAACATGAAATTACAAATAAAATTTTAAAAGGAGGTGAAAGTGGAAGACCCAGAGAGTGCAAAGGAGATGAAAAAAGAAAGGCTGCGATTACTTAGGAAGTTGATGGGAAACAGACTTCACTAGGATTGAACCCTGTCAATAAGGTCTTGTTCTTCTCACCCAGGCCATTGCTCAAAGTTTCCAGTCGCCCTGGAACATTTTGAACCAGCAGTGGCACTTGCTTCCTCTGCGCTTCCTTTCCAGGTCTATCAAGTGATAGGGCAGGGCTTTACAATGAGTGGGAAACAGGCAGCAAGTGTGAAAGCTCCTGCTTTCTGGCTCTGGCACAGCACAGCAGATTTAGCGCGGGGCAGTGCAGATGCGCGCTGTCCTGTGCCGCGATACCCTATCGCACCCGGCCCCAGGGCTCACGCTTCCCTTCCTCCTCTTTTCCCTACAGCAGCCTGTCAGCAGGAATGGCTAACACAACAGCCACCACAGCCTCAAAGAATTTGCAGCTGGTAAGGACAGCACAGTTTCCATCTTCTCCTAATGAGGTCAGGGAGTAAGTAATAAGTAAGCTTTGTAAAGTGATTTAAACCTTTAGCCATAAGAGATTATCACACATATAAATTTTATTATCAAAGCTATTGCTTTGCACTTATACTGCAAAGTCTTCAAGATACAGGAATCCCTGAACCAGAAAAGGAATATTAAAGGAACTAGATGATAAATTATTACATAGGTGCTATTATACATCATTGGAGAGCTTAGTTTTGCTAGTGTAAAGTACCCAGCTAATGCTATTCAGTTTATAAAAAAAAAAAAGATAAGCAAAATATTAGAAGATAGAAACAGGTCTCTGTCTGTGGACAAAGCAGTCTTGAAAGCAAATTGCCTACAAGCTGCCTTTAAGTAGGATTACAATGAGACCTGGCTCCATAGCGATGTGAGACCAGCTTGAACTATCACAATAGTTTAACAGGACTGACTAAATAAACCACCTCAGTTAAAATAGTTCCTCATCAACACACTCTGGCACCTCAGATTTGAATCTCTGTGCTGTCTTCAGCCAAATACTAGTTTGAAAGCTCATACAAAGAATGATACTTCTGCTGGCTTCCAAGACACAGCAGCAGGTTTCCAACTGCAGCTGCCTTACAACATGTCTGTAAAATTCCCAGACAAAAGAAAACAGACACATAAACTAGCATGAGACAACTTTAGGATGCAATATTTTATATTTAATACAGTAGTTAATGTCAAGAACTTCAATAAGCTTTGACACACTATCAAAGAAAAACACTTCCAACATGGTGAAGAAATTGAGACAAATGAGTTAGACAGTGCTTTGCCAAAATCATCTAGAATAAAAACAGTATCAAGTTCGACTTGATCCATGAACAAGATAATTTATACAGAAAACTGAAAACAAGTGTAACTCAATAGCCTGTTTAGCAATCCAACCTCCTTTATTTCGCACTGTTTTACACAGGCAAGTTCCATTTGCAATGAACTCATTTGAGACTTCTATTGACACATCCAGGGAAGGCTGTGAAAGCATCCTGGCAAGCAAGCCATCTTCATCCTCTTTCTTTGATTTGGCCAGTTCCAATACCCTTCCACAGGGCTCTTGGATTCAAGAATTAGATAATGCCCTACCTGAGCTTTCTTAATCCAGAGAACTCCCTCTTCCCCACACCTCCTCTGTGCTAACAAAGAGGAGTGGAAGTACTAGATGGATGAAGAAACAAGGGGAAAGACATCAGGGGAAAAAGATCAAGAAGAGGAAGAGGTACACACTTCTTTTATTATTACTCCTAGAGTTCCAGGGGAAGTGTATGGAGTGCTTTTTCAGAAGGAGGGAGAAAGAATTAAAGACCAAACATAAATGATGCTAGTGTATGATAACTGTACCACTGAGGAGAAAGGGCTCTCAGTTGTGGGGGAGTAACATAAACATCTGAAAAGAAACACCCCACAGTATATCAAGTATTCAGAATTCATCACACCTTTGAAAAAAAAACACATAATGGTTTTCCACATACCACAGAAGAGATCAAAGATGCTTATACTTATAAAATTCAGAATTGATTGAGGCTAGTGCTGGGCCCTTAGGAATAACTACAAAGGTGGGTTTGTGGAAGTTCAAACTAAAGGGGGTATTGTCAATTATCAAGGTCATTCCTAGCAGTTCTAAATTCCTTTTGAGCTACAAACTACAGTTGTGCTCTGCTGAAGTTAAATTTTGGTAGGTTCAATTAATCTGTTTGGGGGAAAGTGCATGGAGAAAAGAGGAACACTTTTATCCATAGAACATGACTTTTATTTCCTAAAAGCATCTTTCTACAACAATATCAGCACAGTCACAATTCTCATTTAGCCTTGTTGGAATGAATAATCCATCTCCCCATTAAAATCTACAGAATCAGTGCCACTGGTGGCCTTGCACAATAAACTGTTGGTTCATCAACTTTTAAACTTTTGCACAGCTAGAAGCTAATGCTGTTTCAGAGACTTGTTGAACTGGAGTGTGGTGACAGATCCTTTGGGGCAGGAGATACACACCACTCCAAAGCAACATCCAAATGATTTTAATAGCAGTCTGTAACAACTATTCCTTTGTTCATAGCACTCCAGAGCAGTCTTCCTTAAAAATGAAAAATCCAAGAGAATAATAAAGTGAAAAGTTATTTTCGTTGAAAAATGCACACTTGTAATAATTTCCAGTGATTTACAGAGGAAATCAGTAATTTTTTGCAGATACTATAAAAAGAACAGTGCTACACTTTGTCTCAACTCTTCAAGGTGATAATCGAGGTAAAGCATTAAAGCATACATAAAAAATTCCCTATACTGAAAACAGGAAGAACTATGAACTCTGAAGTATTTAACTGATTTATTAAAGCTGCCACCCTCCAAATGCAGTAGTTATTTTGCTATTTTGATTTGTATTCCGGCCAAGTAAGAATATAAAAAACAAGTGTCCTTTTGTTCCTGCTGTCAAAAGAAAAAGTCAAAAGGCAGAAAAGGCAGCACACATAAAAAAAAATTTTAAAAAACCTTTGTTTTAAAAGATTGTCCACTTAAAGGTTCTTGTAGTTCATTAACTGCAGTACAGCAAAATAAAATTAAGCAGGAGGAAAAGCTAACAACAAGAAAAGCATTCTACTTATATTACTCTGTTCTATTCCAATTAAGATTTGTTTAAAGGCAAAAGAAAAGCAAAGTTGCTTTGGAAAAATGAATCACTGTTATTTCCTAGTCTGAGCTCCATCTGACCTCACATACTAAACTGCTAAACTATTACATTATAGAAAGAGCTGTAACTGCAGTTACAGAAGAGCAACACAT